CTTCTGTTCCTGCTAGGAGCACACATGGCTCTTTATATGCTCATGAATACTTTCATGAGTATTTTTACATCTGTAAAATGTATGTTTCATCTGTATGTTTACACTTACATATATGGTGTTTGTAATTGATGGGTGGTAGTTATAGAAACTTATGTAATCATATCAAATGTGAATTTTTGATACATCCATATGTGGAAGTAGATGCGAAACAGGGTAATTTGCAAATTTGTCACCTTAGACATGTTTTTCATTAGTAATTTTAACCTTAGTATTTTCCTAAAAATAACATTGTCTATACTGTTAGAGAATTCAGTACCACCAGAATTAGTAATTTATTTAGTTTAATAGAGGAAAATGGAGATGGAAAAAGAATCAAAAATTAGTTCCAATGTCTTCTCATGTGTATCTAAGAGCCCAAAGGTAAGGTTGCCTAGATGGCCACTAACAGCATTGCCGTCGATGTCACAATTTTCTTACTCACAGTGGAGGTTGTTTCCCTGGGAGAGGTATTGTTGCTGTTTTCGTGATGATGAAGACAGACAACCAGAAATGCCCATGATTTCCATTAATAGTGAACACTTCCCCAGATGGTCCTCAGAGGACTTGTACACTCAGAGAACAGGAATCCAGACACTGCTAGTAAGGGCAATATGGGGGCCCAGTCTTTCTGTGGGTCTGTGGGTGTGTTTAGGTGATGTGCAGACTTTCCCTTCCTACCTTCTTGCCACAAAACCTCATTTCAGGAGCCCCCACACTTGCTGAGCTCCAAAAGTTATGCTGTGTTCTGGTCTTTGGAGTGGAGAAGGATGCTCTAGCAACCACTGACCAGTCCAACCCAGAAAGCAGACACTGTATACGTCTGAAACAAGAGACCTGAGAAAGATCTCCCATGGGTACTTCTTTCTAGGACTGAGACCCATGAAGTACAGTGTTCTACACAGGAGGCTGAGGGAGGAGGGCACATGCTCACCCTTAGAGTCCCAAAGAAGAGGGAGGGAGAGGAGGAAGACTGAGATTCTCATAGGAGTGTCTGGATCCATGAGTTTGGCAACCTACCCCTGTCAGAGAAAAGACAGACTCTGGAAAAAGCGTGTGGAAAAACCTCATCTCTAGTACAAGTTCATATTTTTAGTTAGGACAGAGGAGGCTACAGGTTGAGAAGACTCAGAGTGATTCCTGGAATGAGACAAATCCTCGGTTTTTCTCTTGGCCTGCCATGTCACAGCCCTTTCTGATGGTTTGAAAAGCACTGCTCAGCTAAACCTTTGGTAATGGCCTAGGTTCTGCATATACCTGAGCTCACAGGCCCGTGCCTGCCCACAATCTCTCTCCCTCTGCCCTCATATGGATGCTGAACTACTGTCCCTGTGGCACTCAAAGGTGCTTTCTGTCTCTTCAGGGATGGTGGGGGCCAAACTTGAAACACAAACTTGAGAGTCCTTTGAGAGGATAGGACAAGGAGCTGGGTGCCTCTTCTCCCAACTTGAAGCAAGAGGAAAAAGTATAAATGAAGACGACATCGACAAGTGAAAACTTTCCTCCCACCGTGCTCTTTGGTTGCACAGTTCAGCTTGTTAGAGGCAACTTACCATTTTCCCTCTCTAAGGAATTCGCTGTCAGATTCTGTAGGCTTAGCATGTGTGTAGCATTGAGCATGTTTGTCTAGTGGATGCTCGTCTGTATATCAGAATTGCCGTAATTTCTAGGATGATTTCAAAAAGTTGTCCAAGTTCTGCCAGATACTGTAGCTTATGCATTTGCCCCCTCCAGTGCATCCCCCCTCGAGTGTATCCCCCCTCCAGAGCATCCCCCCTCCTGAGCATCCCCCCTCCAGTGCATCCCCCCTCTAGTGCATCCCCTCTCCAGAGCATCCCCCGTCCAGTGCATCCCCCCTCCAGAGCAGACCCCCGTCCAGTGCATCCCCCCTCCAGAGCATCCCCTGCCCAGTGCATTACCCCCTCTAGTGTATCCCCTCAGTGCAGTCCCCCCTTCAGAGCATCCACCCACCAGTACATTCCATCCTCCAGTGCATCCCCCCTCCAGTGCATCCCCCCTCCAGTGCATCCCCCCTCCAGTGCATCCCCCCTCCAATGCATTCCCCTTCCAGTGCATTCCCCCTTCAGTGCATCTCCCCCCTCCAGTGCATCCCCTCTCTAGAGCATTGTCCCCCTCCAGTGCATCACCTCTCTAGAGCATTGTCCCCCTCCAGTGCATCCCCCCAGTGCATCCCCGCTCCAGTGCACCCCCTTCCAGTGCATTCCCCCTTCAGTGCATCCCCCCCAGTGCATCCCCTCTTTAGAGCATCCCCCCTCCAGTGCATCCCCCCTTCAGTGCACCCCCCTCCAGTGCATTCCCCCTCCAGTGCGTTCCCCTTTCCAATGCCCCACCCTCTTGCCATATTAGCATGACTTTTACTAGTTGTTATATATAATTCTAAAATGTGAGTCTCAGTGTAGAATGTAGTGACCAACCTTTGATGGTTGGGCTTGCAGAACTGAAGTCTTTGTTGGAGTTAGTAATTGATGGTTGAAAGGTTAGCAGCTGGATTTTAAAAACCTACATGATCTTGCTTAGGATTAGGATCTTTGTTGTTTTTACATTATTTCTCTTTTTAAAAAATCAGTTTTTCTATCCCTTTAATCCTTCCAGGGTTACCACCAGCCTTTGTACCTCTTTATTTCAGGTTTTTTTTTAAAGAGATGGGGTAAGGGAGAATGTATGTACGACCTCAGAGACAGAGGGCTGAACCTTTATTTTTTAAGTTAATTTTATGTGACATTTTGGTCTGTTTGTGTGCCTTTCATTCACCCTTTATGATAAGGATGCCAAGAACTCTGCCAGCTTTGATAGTGTCTGATGGTCTGATAATTTGGGTTGGATCAGAAGGTGCTCAGAATATTGCTTTAAAGAGGTTGGAAGACAGGCCCAGAGAGAACACTAGAATCTAAACTTACAAAGGGAATGACCTAGTCATGGCTTCATCCTGTAAAACCTTATCCATTCTCGTGTAAGGTAGAAGAGGATTTTGTGATGATTCATTTTCCTAAACAGTCAGTGGATATTTTTTACGAGGTGTCCAACCACACCATACTCTCTCAGTTCTAGCTGCAAGTTGAGTCCCCTGAGTTTTAAAGAAACACTGGTGCCATACATTCTGTCCAGTCCTGAGGGTTCTCCCTGAACCAAATCCATGAGATAGTTGAGACACATGTAGTTTTAGGTGGCTTTCTCGGAGATTCCGGTGTGCAGCCAGTGGATGGTGGAGTTGCTAGAGGTTTCTGAGTTGTAACTCTAAAATAATAAGGATGTTTAGAAAATTGTTCCTCAAGAGAGAGTCAGAGATGTAGGAAATACAGTAAGTGGCAGAAGTTTTGGAACCTTTCGAATCTTGGGGTTCTTATGCAGGAGTAGAGGGTACTTTGCAGAATACAGTGAAACTTGAAGTATGGGCCAAGAGCTGATGCCCCCTGAATTACCTGGGCTCTTTAGAAATGCAGATTGTGGTCCTCCTCCTCCCCCAGAGCTACCAAGTCAGTACCTGTGGGAGTGCAACCCAGCAGTCTGCATTTCACAGCACCTCTTCTGGGAGGTCCTGATGAACTGGGAGGCTTGAGAAGTGTTTTGATAGAGAGTGATTGCCTGACTGGGAGGGAGATAGGAAAATCAACCCACTGCCAGCTACAGAGGGACAGCCTCCCAGGCTGCATGGCTCTGGGGACAATGTCCTCAGCCGCTGAGTGTGGCAGGGTTTAGACCTGGCTGCTGATAGCTGTCCCTTGGAGTGTAGCACTTGCTTTTAAAGGCAGTGGAGACCAGGTGTTTCAGAGCCCCTTTGACTCATCATCCTTCACAGGACTCCTCTTTCCATTCCTAGACTGACTTTCCCCCCAGATAGCCACGTTGTGACACTTTGATGTTATCCAAAAGTGACTAATTTGGCTATGGAGACTGCTTCCTCTAGCTCGCTAATGGTTGAAAAGCTGAGATTCGAGAACAGCCACTTCCATGTAAAGAAAGCTTCAGAATGGAGCATCAAAACTGCGTTTTCCAAGGGAGAACAAAAATGCTTTTTAAAATGGTAAAAACAAAACAAAAGCAAAAACAAAAAATCTGGTGTCTTTTTTTTCCTGATTAAATTTGTTTTAAACCCATATAAAATATTTTGTAACATGCCATGCAGCTTTGGATGTTTGGCTTAGACATCAATGGACACATACCTTTTTCCACATGCGTTCTTGTTGGCTGAAGAGGTTGGGGACCTTCTTATATCTTGAGTGTATTGTACTCAGATATCTGCACCATCTGCCTTGTGGTCAAGTGTCCCCTCATCTGTCCTGTGGTCATTAGTGTGCACAGTGAAAGCTACATTTCTTCCTGGGTGTGAATCACGTAGTCGTTTATCACCTAGCTAGCTTCTCTTACCCCTACTGTTAGGTAGAATCCTATGGTTTTGCTATGTTGTAGTTGATTTTATTCAACATGACTTGTATGCTGGCATTCTCCTGCCTTACTGCCTGGAGCGGGCTTGTGGTCCAGGTCATACTGTTCGAGGGAACGATAATACAGCCTCCTTTGCCCTGCCTGTACGTAAGCTTTATTTTAGTTAACTTCCAAAAGTTTGTCTTCCTCATACTTGAACTTTTTCTTATCCTTACATGTATACAAGTCTTTTCTTCCTCTGCTTGAATAGGATTTTATTAAGGCCAGTTAAAATCTAATACATTTCAGTATCCCTAGTACCCCCCCAACCTTGCCTAATGTACTTGACCCTACTAAACTAGCTGTTATGCCATTTTGAAATATGAAATTTCATAGGCCTTTTGCCCTATGAAAGCTAAGGCTATTAATTAAACCAAAGTTATCTAAGAAAGGCACATTTCTATATAAGGCAAACAAATTGGTCTAAAACAATCACAGTAAATTGCCAACAGGTGTATCTTTTAAAGAGGACTATGAAATGGCCTACCTGCTAACGTTTCGTGTGTATTTCCTTTCCGTAGGTGACTTTCTCCCACCCCCACCTCCACCTTTAGATGATCCCGGTACCCTTCCACCTGGCTCTGGACACTTCCCTCCTCCTCCACCACTGGATGAAGGTGCTTTCAAAGTCCAGGTAAGAGCAGTGGCGGAAGTCAGGTTTGTAAGACATTTGAGGATGCCTGGGAATTCAGTGACCGTTTCTGTGTTGATGAGCATTACCCAGAGTCTATAGAGGACTTTGCAACTTACAAGGAATTACCATACTTTAATGCAAAATGCCCAAGCCGTGCTTCTCAGAGTTCTGCTGGCTTACACTCTGAAGCCATGGAAAAATATTACCCACTAATTTCATTTTAAAACCAAAGGTGATTTTCTTTTAAAGAAATGCTGTTTGAGAAGTCTACATTTTTTGGCATAAAACCAGGCCTTAAAAAAAAAATCATTCCTCTCTGTCCTTAAGCTTTGCATTCAATATGAGGAAGAGTGATATTTAAGGCTCTGCTTGTTCAATGTGGGCCCTCACTGGCAGCAACATTGTTTTCACAAAAGCAATAGTAAGATGCCACAGGGCCTTTTCTTCTAGATGCTCGAAGGTGAATGTTATAGGTGTATATCAGTGATATGTGAGCATTATGTTCTGGAGAGAGCAGGTTACAAAGTAACTCCAGCTACATGGAGAAGTGTAGATTCTTGCTGGAGAAGGAGATTTTTGCTCTGACCAAAGGTGGCTCATGTCCAGCACCCCCACTTAAGGCTGAAGATATCATGTCAGGACAGAAAAATGATAAAATTATAAAGATTGCCGTTCTCAGATAAGGTGATGTTAATGTAGATATGGAGAAGATAAGAATCAAGAACTTGTCTCAGAGAAACAGTGATTTTTTTTCAGATGAGATGGAATGGTGTTTGGTGTTTGCCTGTGCACAATCAAGCATCAGAAACCTGTGAGTTACACCACAGACCAGAGACACTGAGTTGATGTTGGTGACTGTTTTGTGGTTTGTTCTGTTATTTGGTCTGCCATTGTATGTGTTCACCGTGTTCCACGAGGAATGTGGTGGAGGAGTGTAGGGTCTGGTCTCTTGTCCCTTCTCTTGAAGTTTAGGTTGGGAGAGCGAAGTAGAAATTGCTCAGTTGTTTCCCAGACAGTCTTTGTTCCAATGTAGATATGATCTGAGCACTTGAAATCCTATGACACGAAAGGCAAGCAGTTTGTGCGCTGTGGAACTTGCAAGTAAACAGAGTACAAGCGTTGCACATTCTGGTGGGGTGTGTACTAGGGGAAGCAGGCACAGGGTGGCTTTCGAGAGTGACCTTGGTCAGTGACACCTCCTCAGGACAGTACCACCAAACAGAGGCTTAAAGGAGAAAAGGCTTTATAAGCCAGATGGATTCTCATGGAGTATATCTTCACGAGGTTTAGTCATGTTTTAATGAAATAGTCTTGCCTGCTTTTTACATACTGTTGTTTACTATTGGGACACTTCTCTGTGTGTTGGTCAATGGACGTAATTTTAAAATTCCCTTCTGTTTTCTTTCCTGGATTGTTATTAAATCTATTGTGCTATATTTTGAATATTTCTGCTCCAAGGATTGGCTGAATGTCTGCCGTTTGAAAAGTAGTTGAGAAGTAGGTTCTAAGTTAGGGACTGGGCAGATCACACCAGGTCCTAGCTGACCTTTTGAAAGAAGTGTAAGCCTTAAAAAGATCATAATGTGCCAACGTGTCTCAAGGTGCTAATTGAAATAGCTAGATGATACTTTGATATTCCTACTGATAGTGTGTAAAGCAAATAATAGCAATGATAGTAATAAGGTTATGATCGGTACTATGTGAAGCTCCTAATCGCAGTAACAATAGAGTTTAGTCCATGGGTTCCATTTAAAAACCATCCAACCCATGAACATAGGATCTTTACACTAATTGCTCCTTGCTTTACTTTTATTAGTGTTGGATAGTTTCACTGTGAACATCTTTCATATCGTTAAACAAATTGTACTTCAATTTGTTTTTGAAATTATTATGAATGTGACTTCTTTCTTGATTTCTTTTTCAGAGTTGACTGTTAACATAAATAACCTACTTACCTTTATATGTTGACTTTATATCATGCAATTTTACTGACTTATGCATTAATTTAATAATGTTTTCTAGAGTCTTGGGTTTGTCCATGTGTGTTCACTGTGTCTGAAAACAGGCACAGTCCGTCTTCCTCCATTTTTAGTTTGGACTCACCCCTTTTAATTCTTTGTCTTGTCTAATTGCCCTGGCTAGGACTGCCAGTACTGAGCCAAATACAATCAGTGAAAGTGGAGTCCTTGTCCTGTTCACGGGGCTTTCATGGAAATTACAAACAGTCTCTTTCTCTGTGGACTTTGCTGGGTGTACTCAAGCCATGGCTTTGTTTTTGAAGAGGAAGGAAATAAACAAGAAGCCTGTCGCCATGCTGGCTTATGTTCTCTAAAACAGAAGGGAGGTTGAGAAAAAATAAAGCAGTGTTTGCCAAATGGAAAAGGACAAATCTGGGAGGGAGAGGGTGTTGTTTTTGAAGCTCTTCATGTGAGCTTCTTGGTAACTTAAAAATGATGCCCGTGCCGTCCTCTCGGGCGGGAGTGAGTCGGGTGTGAGAGTGACGACCTTGCTCTGCCTGTGCCTCAGCACCTTTCCATAGAGCTCAGGGCAACTGATGCAGGGTGATCCCTGGGAACGGTTTTGTACTTGTTCTTCTTTCTGGTAAAGCCTCATCTTGCCAATTCCAAATCATAGCTGGTAAATGTGTGTTTTATGTAGAAGTCTGTTTATATTTCCAGCCAGATTTTCCGCTCAGAGCCAGAAGACTGTCTACTAAGAATGACTACTGCAAGATCCTCAAAGCTGAAAAGGACTTGGGTGGTCATTGAATCCAAGCCTGGGACCAGATTTCTCAATTAGAGCACTTCAAGCACTCACTGAAGGAATTAATTCCTGACCCTCTTTGGAAATGGGGAGACTGAGACCCCAAGAGGTATCGGTAGATACCCTGGTTCTGACAGAACTCTCACCCAGAAGCCTTTCCTCCTGGCCATGCCACCTCCCCAATGTTGATTGCTTGTGGGGTGTACTTGGCTCCTCTTAGCCCTCTATTAAGCTGTAAGGCTCTCTGATGCAGAGTAAAGGCTTGCATGCCCTATCCGGCAAGAACAGGTGCTGCTGGAGTTTAGCTTGGCTCTCTGCATTTTTGATATATGCTGCATAAACTTCCGTACAACAGCAAAAAATTATTTAGTGCAAAGAAGTATTCTTGTCTTGAGAATTCACATTTTTTATGGGAAAGATGAATCTGAACACAAATGGGAGATTTGGTTTGCTTTTTTTTGGCTAGAATGAATTGAACTTTTCTGGCTGTAAAGTTTGTACTGGCCCCTCGACAGTCTGTGTATTCATTTGTTTTTTCCTGCTTCAGAGTCAAATGAATATGCTCATTAGGTAGACACATAATGCTACAGGTGCTGTAGCCTCAGAACTCGGCCTCCTCAGTCTGACAATCCGAGTGTTCAACCTTTGGGCTTTGCTCCGAGTTACTGTCACAGTCTGTAAATTCTCTTTCCAGTCAGCCCATGAGCAGGTACACAGTGTTGCTCATCACTTGGATGAGAGGACAGAATGTCTTTTTCAAGGTATTTTAGAATATCTTTTAACAGGTCTTTTTTTCAGGAAATTAGACATCATCCATTTTAGGTCTTTCTATTCTTTTAAATGGTAGGTTTTTTTTTTTTTTAAATGCATGTAAGAAAAAGGTCACATATGTAGTGAAGCAGTGGTGATGGATAAAGAGATAGAGTAGATGTAAGACACACACACACACACACACACACACACACACACGCAGGAGCATGTTCCACACATAGAGGGGGCAAACCACATGCACATAGTCCTACGTTGTGTGGTAGCTTCCCCAGCTCCCCAGGCACTTACCTGGCCTTCTGTGTGACATTTTGTCTCATCTTTCCATGACCTCCAGGAAACCACCTTTGACTTGGCCTGACTGGTCTGAACCTGCAGCTTGGTCCTCCTTGTCCAGTGTGGAGCAGTTGCTAGCCTTCGACGGTCCCTTCTCTGTTTTCGTGTACTCAGGCCAGATGCTTCCATTTGCTGTGTGTATTCAGTGTCTCCACTGCAAAATATATTTTTTTTTTATCCAACACTGCTTGGTTCGACTGTTAAAATTTTCGTATTCAAATGCAATCTTTCCCCTTAACATTTGTTTTTAGTGCCTTTCTTCCTGTACTCTTGAAAAATGTTGCACAAAGAGGCAGTTGGGGATGGACAGAGCGAGGGTCGGGCGTGGGGCAGTGTACCACATAGAGCTGATCAGCAAAGCTGGGGAAAGAGGTGGGCATTTCCAAGGATAAAGTGAACACAGTATCTTGAACTAGGCTCAGAATTAGTAGTGAAAAGGAAGAAGAAACTCCACCCCCGCAATTCCTGTCTTAAATTGGGATTAGATAAGCAAATTCACCTTTTTTGAAAAGAATTTAAAAACAATATATTTAAAAACAATATGTGTATGCTGGCTAAAAATCACTTTTTTTTTTGCGGCAGGGGGGGGGAGTTCAAGACAGGGTTTCTCTGTGTAGCTTTGTGCCTTTCCTGGAACTCACTTTGGAGACCAGGCTGGCCTCGAACTCACAGAGATCCACCTGCCTCTGCCTCCCGAGTGCTGGGATTAAAGGCATACGCCACCACCGCCTGGCCAAAAATCACTTTCTTATTTGCCCATTTTATACTTTTTTAGGCATAATGACCTCAGGTCCACAGCCATGGCCACCTTCATTTTTGAGCCCACAGAAACTGGCATCTGGCCTTGACCAGAGTTTGGATGAAACTTATCACAGAGGTTTCCTTTGCCTCTGCCCATGAATATGATACGGAAGAGGACAGTGATACAGAAACAGGTCTACACTGCTGAGCCCGAGATGGTTGTAGTGGGGCCTGTTGTGGGATCTTGAACAGACTGACCAGCAGGAGCCTACTCTAAACTCATTGTGCATTTCCTTAGGGTGTTGTTACAAAGACATTTGATGCATGAAATTATACGAGAAGGCCTAGGATGCTGTTCTTCTCACCTGTGACCCTCTTGCTTTTAGGTCCCT